CAATCTCGGCTCATTGCAATCTCTACCTCCCAGGTTCAAGCAATTCTCTTGCCTCAGCCTCCCAAAGCAGCTGGGACTACAAGGGCGCACCACCAGTCCCAGCTAATTTTTGTATTTTAGTAGAAATGGGTTTTGACCATGTTGGCCAGGATGGTCTCAATCTCTTGACCTCGTGATCCGCCCGTCTCCGCCTCCCAAAGTGCTGGGGTTACAGATGTGAGCCACTGCGCCCAACCTCATCTAACTTTTCTTAAAGCATTTAGATGGTATGTACATTTATGTTTGTTACTTTGAAATATACATAAATTATGTTAACAGTGAAATAAACTTTTGTCTTTTTTTTTTTTTTTTTAACTTAAGGACCTCAGATTCATTGCTTTGTTTTTGCTTTGGCAAAGTTTTTTTCTTTCAATTTTGGTCTTTTTTTTTTTTTTTTTGAGACAGAGTCTTGCTCTGTCACCAGGTGCCAGGCTAGAGTGCAGTGGCGCAATCTCCGCTCATTGCAACCTCCGCCTCCTGGGTTCAAACAATTCTCCTGCCTCAGCCTCCCAAGTAGCTGGGACTACAGGTGCGCGTCACCATGCCCAGCTAATTTTTGTATTTTTAGTAGAGCTGGGGTTTCACCATGTTGGCCAGGATGGTCCTGATCTCTTGACCTCATGATCCGCCTGCCTCAGCTTCCCAAAGTGCTGGGATTACAGGCATGAGCCACCATACCCAGCCTCATTTTTAGTCTTTTAAAGTAGACACAGATTTGTTTAGATCAAAGCTCACTTTAAAAGCACACAAGCTGGGCGCGGTGGCTCAAGCCTGTAATCCCAGCACTTTGGGAGGCCGAGGCGGGTGGATCACGAGGTCAAGAGATCGAGACCATCCTGGTCAACAGGGTGAAACCTCGTCTCTACTAAAAATACAAAAAAATTAGCTGGGCATGGTGGCGCGTGCCTGCAATCCCAGCTACTCAGGAGGCTGAGGCAGGAGAATTGCCTGAACCCAGGAGGCGGAGGTTGTGGTGAGCCAAGATCATGCCATTGCACTCCAGCCTGGGTAACCAGAGTGAAACTCTTTATCAAAAAAAAAAAAAAAAAAAAAAAAACGCGGGGCGTGGTGGCTCAAGCCTGTAATCCCAGCACTTTGGGAGGCCGAGGCGGGTGGATCACGAGGTCGAGAGATCGAGACCAACCTGGTCAACATGGTGAAACCCCGTCTCTACTAAAAATACAAAAAATTAGCTGGGCATGGTGGTGCGTGCCTATAATCCCAGCTACTCAGGAGGCTGAGGCAGGAGAATTGTCTGAACCCAGGAGGCGGAGGTTGCGGTGAGCTGAGATAGCGCCATTGCACTCCAGCCTGGGTAACAAGAGCGAGACTCCATCTCAAAAAAAAAAAAAAAAAAAAAAAGCACACAAAAGTGGAGCACAAAAATAGGATTAAATTTGGCAATACAGAATGATAAAGACTAAAAGATACTGAGTAGTTTCTTTGACAGAAAACTGATTATTCAAGGTAATTATCTAATATATATTTGCAGGCTGAAGTACTCACGCTGCAAAAGAGAGCAGCAGTTCAGTGTATAAACTGAACAGTGAATTCTTTAGTTGTACTTTGTTTTCTGTTTATTACTTCATAACAATTAGCATAGTTAATGTGTAGTGTTTGTAGGTAACCTGCATTTATGTAAATTAAAAAGTATTTTTGGCTAGGTGCAGTGGCTCACACCTGTAATCCTAAGCACTTTAGGAGGCCAAGGCAGGCAGATCACGAGGTCAGGAGTTTGAGACCAGCTTGGCCAACATGGCGAGACCCCGTCTCTACTAAAAGTACAAAAATTAGCTGGTGTGGTGGCACACATCTGTAGTCCCGGCTACTTGGGAGGCTGAGGCAGGAGAAGCGCTTGAACCCACGAAGGGGAGGTTGCAGTGAGCCAAGACGGCACCATTGCACTCTAGCCTGGGTGACAGAGTGAGACTCTGTCTCAAAAAAAAGTATTTTCTGCAATAGTATGACTATAAGTCCACAAAATTTACTTTCAATTAATCTCTTAAATAGACGTTTTAATATTATTATTTATCCTTTTGAAATATAAAGTGTTTTATCTGAATTATGGTAAAAAACTTTTTTTTCTTTTTGACAGTCTCACTGTTTCCTGGGCTGGAGTGCAGTGGCACAATTTCAGCTCACTGCAGTCTCTGCCTCCTGTGTTCAAGCAGTTCTCTGACTCGGCTGCCCGAGTAGCTCGGATTATAGGCACCCACCACCACGCCCTGCTAATTTTTGTTTGTATTTTTATTAGAGATGTGGTTTCATCATCTTGGCCAGGCTAGTCTTGAACTCCTGACCTCCTGATTCACCCATCTTGGCTTTCCAAAGTGCTGGGATTACAGGTGTGAGCCACTGCACCTGGCCTCTTTTTTTTTTTTTTTTTTTTTTTTTTTTTTTTGAGAAAGAGTTTCGTTCTTGTCGCCCAGGCTGGAGTACAATGGTGCGATCTCCATCTTGGCTCACCACAACCTCTGCCTCCCGGGTTCAAGTGATTTTCCTGCCTGAGCCTTCCACGTAGCTGGGATTACAGGCATGTGCTGCCACACCCTGCAAATTTTGTATTTTTAGTAGAGACGGGGTTGCTCCATGTTGGTCAGGCTGGTCTCGAACTTGCGACCTCAGGTGATCTGCCTGCCTTGGCCTCCCAAAGTGGTGGGATTATAGGCATGAGCCACTGCACCCAGCAGTTACAGACATTTAAAAAAAATTTACATTCAGGCCGGGCGCGGTGGCTCAAGCCTGTAATCCCAGCACTTTGGGAGGCCGAGGTGGGTGGATCACGAGGTCAAGAGATCGAGACCATCCTGGTCAACATGGTGAAACCCTGTCTCTACTAAAAATACAAAAAATTAGCTGGGCATGGTGGGGCGTGCCTGTAATCCCAGCTACTCAGGAGGCTGAGGCAGGAGAATTGCCTGAACCCAGGAGGCGGAGGTTGTGGTGAGCTGAGATCGTGCCATTGCACTCCAGCCTGGGTAACAAGAGCGAAACTCCGTCTCAAAAAAAAAAAAAAAAAAAAATTTACATTCATTATGACTAGTACGTTAAAATTGTATATACTTAGATATTTATATTTAATATCCAAAAAAATTTACTATAAAATTGTTATAGTAGATATTAGTCTAAAATGCTTATTAGTCTATCTAATAGGGATAACTCTAGGTAAGCATAATTTTAGTATCTTGTATTTCACTAACTTGGAATGCTGCTGTTGTAGGACAAACAGGTGACATGGCCACGCAAAAACCATAATAGCTCTTTAGTCAACTATGTTGCAGGCTCAAATATGTTCTAGTATATTAACAGAGAGGGATTCTAATTCTTCTTCATCAGAAAGTGCTGGTGGAAGTTGTCAGGTATATTTCAACATACGTTCCCCATTCAGTGGCAAGGAGATGAGAGAGCAGCAGAGATGAAAAAGAAACCTTATAAAATTCAACTGAGAATTAGCTGGGCATGGTGGCATGTGCCTGTCATCCCAGCTACTCAGGAGGCTGAGGCAGGAGAATTGCTTGAATCCAGGAGGCAGAAGTTGCAGCGAGCTGAGATCGTACCACTGCACTCCAGCCTGGGCGACAGAGCAAGACTTCGTCTCAAAAAAAATAAAATGAGCCGGGCGCGGTGGCTCAAGCCTGTAATCCCAGCACTTTGGGAGGCTGAGGCGGGTGGATCATGAGGTCAAGAGATCGAGACCATCCTGGTCAACATGGTGAAACCCCGTCTCTACTAAAAATACAAAAAAATTAGCTGGGCATGGTGGCACGTGCCTGTAATCCCAGCTACTCAGGAGGCTGAGGCAGGAGAATTGCCTGAACCCAGGAGGCGGAGGTTGTGGTGAGCCGAGATCGCGCCATTGCACTCCAGCCTGGGTAACAAGAGCGAAACTCTGTCTCAAAAAAAAAAAAAAAAGAAAATGTTTCTATGTTGAAAATGATTTTATTAGATAATTTTAGTCACTTATAGAAGTCAGAACAAAAAAATAAAATAAAATAAAAGAACAAGAAGAAAAAAAAAAAAAAGTCAGAACCGGTTCTTTATTCTCTCATTTGACCCTGAGTCATGTTAAAAATTTTGCCCATGGCCACTTGGTGAATGTGTGTGTGGGTGTGTTTTGCAGAGTCGGAGAATACATTAGAGAATATTTTTGTGTTAAAAATTATTTTCTTAGCCAGGTGTGTTGGCTCATGCCTGTAATGCCAGCACTTTGGAAGGTGGAGGCAGGCAGATCACTTGAGGTTGGGAGTTCCAGACCAGCCTGATCAGTATGGAGAAAACTGTCTCTACTAAAAATACAAAAAAAATTGGCTGGGCATGGTGGCTTATGCCTGTATTCCCAGCTACTTGGGAGGCTGAGGCAGGAGAATTGCTTGAACCTGGGAGGCAGAGGTTGTGGGGAGCCAGGATTTCGCCATTGCACTCCAGCCTGGGCAATAAAAGTGAAATTCCATCTCAAAAAAAAAAAAAAAAAAAAATTATTTTCTTGACCAGGCACGGTGGCCCACCACACCTGTAGATCCCAGCACTTGGGGAGGCCGAGGCAGGCAGATCACGAGGTCAGGAGTTTGAGACCAGTCTGGCCAACATAGTGAAACCCTGTCTCCACTAAAAATATAAAAAATTAGCCGGGTGGGGTGGTGTGTGCCTGTAATTGCAGCTACTGAGGAGGCTGAGGCAAGTGAATCAAGTGGACTCAGAAAGCAGAGGTTGCATTGAGCCGAGATCACACCATTGTACTTCATCCCGGGGAAGAGTGTGAGACTCCTCAAAAAAAAGGGAAAAAAATTAAAAAAAATTTTTAAATAAAATAAAAGCTATTTTCTTGGATAATTTCAGTCACTTCTATAAGTCAGAACCTGTTTTCTCTATTCTCTAACTACACCTTGAGTCAGATTAAAAATTCTGTCCATGACCACTTGGTAAATATATGCATGTCTGTGTTTGTGTGTTTTTCAGGCACCATTGACATTTAGGGATGTGATTGTAGAATTCTCTCTGGAGGAGTGGCAGTGCCTGGACACTGTTCAGCGGAATTTATATAGGGATGTGATGTTAGAGAACTACAGAAACCTGGTCTTCCTGGGTGAGGATAGCTTTAATACTCAATTCCTAATATACCCTAAAGGCTTTATTTCTGTTTTTATTTGTTTATACAGTGTTTTCTGGTAATTTGGTAATTTTGATAATTATGCTTTGCATAAATGAGTTTCAAATTTCTGTTTCAAGAAAATCGTAAGGATTTGTCAGTGTAGGAAAAAAAATTTCCTCAAGATACTTCATCTTGCACTGATCTGTATCCCTCACTCTGGATTAGTTGTAATTTCAGAAATGTAGTGGCATAAAATATTGTTGCCTACACCGTAAAAACGAATTGCTACCACCATTTTTTTTTTTTTGAGACAGAGTTTCGCTCTTGTTACCCAGGCTGGAGTGCAATGGCGCCATCTCGGCTCACCGCAACCTCCACCTCCTGGGTTCAGGCAATTCTCCTGCCTCAGCCTCCTGAGTAGCTGGGATTACAGGCACGTGCCACCATGCCCAGCTAATTTTTTGTATTTTTAGTAGAGACGGGGTTTCACCCTGTTGACCAGGATGGTCTCGATCTCTTGACCTCATGATCCACCTGCCTCGGCCTCCCAAAGTGCTGGGATTACAGGCTTGAGCCACTGCGCCCAGCCAATTTTTTTATTCAGTAATACTGGGTAGTGAAATTAAGAACCTACAAATATACAGGATTTTCTAAATATTTAGAAATTTCTGTTAAAAATTAGTATTTGGGGTAAATGTATTAGAATATTATATCCTTTTTACTGAGCACATTGCTAAGTTGATAATTGGAGAATATGAGCAAGATGCATGTTACTTATTTTTGATAAAACAGGTATTGCTGTCTCTAAGCCAGACATGATCACCTGTCTGGAGCAAGGAAAAGAGCCCTGGAATATGAAGAGATTTGAGATGGTGGCCAAACCCCCAGGTACGTGAGAGTGAAACCAAATAAAACATGAGAGATCCAAAGGTCAAGGAGAAAGCAAATCCTTAAAAAGTCATTTGGGGACCGGGCACGGTGGCTGACGCCTATAATCCCAGCACTTTGGGAGGCTGAGGCGGGTGGATCACGAGGTCAAGAGATCGAGACCATCCTGGTCAACATGGTGAAACCCCGTCTCTACTAAAAATACAAAAAATTAGCTGGACATGGTGGTCCGCGCCTGTAGTCCCAGCTGTTCAGGAGGCTGAGGCAGGAGAATTGCCTGAACCCAGGAGGCGGAGGTTGCGGTGAGCCGAGATTGTGCCATTGCACTCCAGCCTGGGTAACAAGAGTGAAACTTCGTCTCAAAAAAAAAAAAAAAAAAGTCATTTGGGAAGCTTTATTCTAAAGGATATAGTTTCTGGAAGCCTGAGTTGTTGTTGTTGTTATTTTCTTTGCTTTCACATAGGGACATTTTCTGTCTTATGCTTTTAAATTATCTAAAGATTCTACTTTCCTTTCAGTCATTTTCCTTTAAGTTTATAGTGAGAGCCAAAGTCCTCTTCATGGCATAGAAGAGACTGCACAATCTGACTGCTTTTTCATTGTTTTTAGGGACACACAAATATCTGCATTATTTTCAAAAACTTTATGTTAAACAATTTTTTATGTTCTCTTTTTGCATCATGTCTGAAATGAATGGAGTAGTGGTTACTGTTCCATTGAATTTTTTGTTAATTTTTCTGCATATTCCTTTTTTTTTTAGTATATTATTGAAAGATAATTTGGAATTAATTTTTTTTAAAGACGGGCTTTCACCATGTTGGTCAGGCTGGCCTTGAACTCGCGACCTCAGGTGATCCGCCTGCCTTGGCCTCCAAAGTGCTTGGATTACAGGCGTGAGCCACCACACATGGCCCAATAATTTGGAATTACAAAGTATGATGTCCTTCAGCTTTGTTCTTTTTCCTCAAGATTGCTTTGGCTGTTCAGAGTTTATTGTAGTTTCATGTAAATTTTAGCCTTGTATTTTTCATTATTGTGAAGAAAACTTGGCACTGAAATTTTTTTTTTGTTTTTTTTGAGACGGAGTTTCGCTCTTGTTACCCAGGCTGGAGTGCAATGGCGCGATCTCGGCTCACCGCAACCTCCACTTCCTGGGTTCAGGCAATTCTTCTGCCTCAGCCTCCTGAGTAGCTAGGATTACAGGCACACGCCACCATACCCAGCTAATTTTTGTATTTTTAGTAGAGACGGGGTTTCACCATGTTTACCAGGATGGTCTCGATCTCTTGACCTCGTGATCCACCCGCCTCAGCCTCCCAAAGTGCTGGGATTACAGGCATGAGCCACTGCGCCCGGCCCCTTGCTTCTAAAGTTGTATTACAGCAGTTTCATTTTGTGAAAGAATAGCATACCGTTTATTAAATGTTTCTCATTAGAATCTTCTATTTATCATTATACTGCATTTTTCTCTAAAATTTTACTGCCATACAGTGCCTGTCAATGATTCAAAATACCTGTTTTCCATGGGTACACAGTTATAGTCAAATATTATAGTTATCTAGATAGTTATCTAGATAATTTTTTAATGGTACATCAATGCTATATACCGGATTATTTGAGTAAACATTTCACTTATTGTTTTGCAGTTTGTTAGTGTGTTTTTTTCAGTATAAGTTTCTTAACATCAGTTCATTGTGATTTTTTTGTTTTACTTACATACTATAACTTTAGACAATTTGCATTTCTGTTTGTACACTTTAAGTCAGTATGGGCTTTAATTAAGAGAGAAACCGGCCGGGCGCAGTGGCTCAAGCCTGTAATCCCAGCACTTTGGGAGGCCAAGGAGGGCGAATCACGAGGTCAAGAGATCGAGACCATCCTGGTCAACATGGTGAAACCCCGTCTCTACTAAAAATACAAAACATTAGCTGGGCATGGTGGCACGTGCCTGTAATCCCAGCTAGTCAGGAGGCTGAGGCAGGAGAATTGCCTGAACGCAGGAGGCGGAGGTTGCGGTGAGCCGAGATCATGCCGTGGCACTCCAGACGGGGTAACAAGAGCGAAACTCCATCTCAAAAAAAAAAAAAAAAAAAGAAAGAAAGAGAGAGAGATAAACCATCCAGGCCAGGTGTGCTGGCTCACACTTATAATCCCAACACTTTTGGGAGGCTGAGGCAGGTGGATCACCTGAGGTCAGGAGTTTAAGACCAGCCTGGCCAACATGGTAAAACCCCATCTCTACAAAAAATACAAAAAATTAGCCAGACATGGTTGCATGCACCTGTAATCCCAGCTACTCAGGAGGCTGAGACAGGAGAATCACTTGAACCAAGGAGGCAGACATTGCAGTGAGCTGAGATCACACCATTGCACTCCAGCTTGGGCAACAGAGCGTCTCCACTTTGAGAAAAAAAAAAGAGATTAAACTATCCATATGTCTATCACGATCAGATTATATATGTATGTGTTTTCATCCATAAATATGATCCCAATTTTGGTTATCACGTATGTATTTTTTAGCTGGTTTTTAAAAATGGTTCATTTATCTAAGTGAGTAGTCATAGAAATAGTCTTATTTTCACCATGTGTTTAATGATGAATATGTATTTTGTGTGTGTGAAAGAAACATTTTTGTGATTTGAAGGCAGTTTTTGAAAGGATTTATAATTCTATATTTTTTTCAATTTTTCTCTTAAAAAATGTATTGTTATAAAAACACACAACATAAAATTTACCATCTTTTTTTGAGATAGAATCTTGCTCTGTTGCCCAGGCTGGAGTGCAGTGGCATAATCTCAGCTCACTGCAACCTCTTGCCTCAGCCTCCAGAGTAACTGGGATTACAGACTTGTGCAACCATGCCCAGCTAATTTTTGTATTTTTAGTAGAGATGAGATTTCACCACGTTGGCCAGGCAACATATAAAGACCCCCTGTCTACAAAAAAAAAATATTTAATAGCCAGCCATGGTGGTGTGCATCTTTGGTCCTAGCTATTTGGGAGATTGTTGGGGGAGGATTACTTGAGCCTGGAAGTTTGAGGCTGCAGTGAGCCATAGCGGCACCACTGCAACCCAGATTGGGTGACAGAGTAAGACCCTGTTTCAAAAAAACGGTATACATTCAGGCATGTTAAGTACATTCACACTGTTATGCAAGAGACTTCTAGAAATTTTCCATCTTGTAAAACTAAAACTCGATACTCAATAACAACAACCCAGTTTATCCTCTCTCCAGCCCTTGACAAACACTGTTTTACTTTCTATTTTTATGAGTGTGACTACTTAAAATATCTCATATTAGTGGAATTATATAGTATCATTATTTTGTTACTGGCTTATTTGAGGTGACATAATATTCTCAAAGTTTATCTTCAAATGTGACAAGATTTTATAAGGCTGAATAATATTTCATTGTATTTATGTATTATAGTTTTTTTTTTTTAAGACGGGGGTTTCACCATGCTGGTCAGGTTGGTCTTGAACTCCTGACCTCAGGTGATCCGCCCGCTTTGGCCTCCAAAGTGCTTGTATTACAGGTGTGAGCTACCGCGCCTGACCATATTTTTCAATGTGTTTCCAAATTAAAAGACATCTGGGTTGCTTCAGCGTTTTGACTTTTGTGAATACTAATACAATAAACATCGTTCAAATGCGTCTTCCAGGTCCTGGGTTGCATATTATATGTATAGATTCATAAATGAGATTGCTGCATTTTATGATTTAATTTTTAATTATTTGAGGTACATTTATAACATTTTAAAATAATGGCTACATTTCTGATTTATCACTAGCAATCAACATGGGTTTCATTTTCATTGCATGATCAACAGATTTGGTGTTTTTTTTAAAAAAATTATAGTGGCCATTCTAATGGATGTGAGGTGATTTTATTGCTTATTGTGATTTTTGTGCATATCTCTACAAAATAGTGATTTTGCATGTTCTTTTTTTTTTTTTTTTTTTTTTTTTTTGAGACGGAGTTTTGCTCGTTACCCAGGCTGGAGTGCAATGGCTCGATCTCGGCTCATCGCAACCTCCGCCTCCTGGGTTCAGGCAATTCTCCTGCCTCAGCCTCCTGAGTAGCTGGGATTACAGGCACACGCCACCATGCCCAGCTAATTTTTTTGTATTTTTAGTAGAGACGGGGTTTCACCATGTTGACCAGGATGGTCTCGATCTCTTGACCTCGTGATCCACCCGCCTCGGCCTCCCAAAGTGCTGGGATTACAGGCTTGAGCCACCGCGCCCGGCCCATGTTCTTTTTTTTTTTTTTTTTTTTTTGAGACGGAGTTTCGCTCTTGTTACCCAGGCTGGAGTGCAATGGCACGGTCTCGGCTCACCGCAACCTCCGCCTCCTGGGTTCAGGTAATTTTCCTGCCTCAGCCTCCTGAGTAGCTGGGATTACAGGCACGCGCCACCATGCCCAGCTAATTTTTTTGTATTTTTTTAGTAGAGACGGGGTTTCACCATGTTGACCAGGACGGTCTTGGTCTCTTGGCCTCGTGATCCGCCCTCCTTGGCCTCCCAAAGTGCTGGGATTACAGGCTTGAGCCACCGTGCCCGGCCTGCGTGTTCTTTTTAATGCTTTTTCTTATTTGTGTATTTTTTTTTTGAGATGGAGTTTCGCTCTTGTTACCCTGGCTGGAGTGCAATGGCGCGATCTCGGCTCACCGCAACCTCCGCCTCCTGGGTTCAGGCAATTCTCCTGCCTCAGCCTCCTGAGTAGCTGGGATTACAGGCACGCGCCACCATGCCCAGCTAATTTTTTTGTATTTTTTTAGTAGAGACGGGGTTTCACCATGTTGACCAGGACGGTCTTGGTCTCTTGGCCTCGTGATCCGCCCTCCTTGGCCTCCCAAAGTGCTGGGATTACAGGCTTGAGCCACCGTGCCCGGCCTGCGTGTTCTTTTTAATGCTTTTTCTTATTTGTGTATTTTTTTTTTGAGATGGAGTTTCGCTCTTGTTACCCAGGCTGGAGTGCAATGGCGCCATCTCGGCTCACCGCAACCTCCGCCTCCTGGGTTCAGGCAATTCTCCTACCTCAGCCTCCTGAGTAGCTGGGATTACAGGCACGTGCCACCATGCCCAGCTAATTTTTTGTATTTTTAATAGAGACGGGGTTTCACCAAGTTGACCAGGATGGTCTCAATCTCTTGACCTCGTGATCCACCCGCCTGGACCTCCCAAAGTGCTGGGATTACAGGCTTGAGCCACCGCACCCGGCGAGTTTAATTTTTTTTTAACAAATAAATACTTTTGTTGAAAGTATGTGTCTTGATTAGAAAGTTAATTATATATTTAAGTAATTTTCTGAAAGACAAAGACTTCCTGTTATTTTTGTATTTGATCTGATTCTTGTATCTTTATTCCTCATTTTCTGTCTTTCTGTCTTTGTGTCTGTTTCATTTTAGTATTAATATGCTTTTACTTTTTTATTTTCTACTGAGTCTCTACACAGATATTTCCTTTGTGATACCTTGGGGATTACATAAAACCTCTACGGCTGGGCATGGTGACCCACACCTGTAATCCCAGAGCTTTAGGAGGCTGAGGTGGGCAGATCACGAGGTCAAGAGTTCAGACCATCCTGGGCATAGTGAAACCCCATCTCTAATAAAATACAAAAAAATTAGCCAGGCATGGTGGCATACATCTGTAGTTCCAGCTACTCAGGAGGCTGAGGCAGGGGACTCCCTTGAACCTGGGAGACAGGTTGCAGCATGCCAAGATCTCGCCACTGCGCTCCAGCCTGGCAACAGAGTGAGACTCCATCTCAAAAAAAAAAAAAAAAAAAATCAAACCAAAACAAAAACTCTAATAGATAAAACAGTGTATATTCAATCTAATCTGGTGAAAAATGAACTTCAGTTACATAAAAAAAAATTTTGATCATTACATCTGCCCTCAACTTTGTTATTGATGTTTCTGATTATATCTTTTTAAGATGTATATTTATTAACATATTTACAATAATTTCTTTGCTCTTATTTTTCAAATTTTAGAGAATAATTATAAATGTTTTGTGACCCATTATGGTAATGGTAAGGAATTCTTTTTTTTTTTTTTTTTGGTGCCATGACTCGGATACGAACAGGAATTCTATTTTTGTGTACGTGTGTTTCCCAGGAACTTGTGTATTTTTTATGACTATGTGTTTTCGTGCATCATGTTATTTTCAGTGGAAATAATCTTTTTTTCAGCGTCTTTGATATATAGGCCATATGCAGTGCCAATATACTGTCTCAGGATTTGGTTCTTTTCGGTCTTTTTTTTTTTTTCTTTGGTAGGACATTTTGGCTGATGATTATTATTCTCACTTGACAGCTATTTTTCTTCAGAACTTTGACAATATCACACAGTTTTCTTCTGGCCTGCAATTAAAAAAAAAACAACTCACTGTTTAGTGTGTAAGTCTATGCTTATAAATGACCCATCACCGTTGTTTTTTTTTTTTTTTGAGACGGAGTTTCGCTCTTGTTACCCAGGCTGGTGTGCAATGGTGCGATCTTGGCTCACCACAACCTCCGCCTCCTGGGTTCAGGCAATTCTCCTGCTTCAGCCTCCTGAGCAGCTGGGATTACAGGCACGTGCCACCATGCCCAGCTAATTTTTTGTATTTTTAGTAGAGACGGGGTTTCAACCATGTTGACCAGGATGGTCTTGATCTCTTGACCTCGTGATCCACCTGCCTCGGCCTCCCAAAGTGCTGGGATTACAGGCGTGACACATCACCATTATCTTGCAGCTCTAGAGATTCTCTCTTGTCTGTGACATTTTAAATTGTTCTTATATATGTGTTTTTTATAAATACCTTGTGTGTGTATTTTAGTTTGTTGAGCTTCTTCATTTTTATTTTATTTATTTATTTTTATTGGAGACAGAGTCTCACTCTGTCCCTAGGCTGGCGTGCAGTGCTGTGATCTCAACTGACTGCAACCTCCGCCTCCCAGGTTCAAGCCATTCTCCTGCCTCAGCCTCCCGGGTAGCTGGGACTTCAGGCACATGCCACCACACCCAGCTAATTTGTGTCTTTTGAGTAAAGACGGGGTTTCACAATGTTGTCCAGGATGGTCTCGATTTCTTGACCTTGTGATTCACCCTCCTCGGCCTCCCAAAGTGCTGGGATTACAGGTGTGAGCCATGCTCAGCCAAACTTTTTATTTTTATGCCACTTTTTTCTTTTGGAATTGGTTAGTTATCTCTTTTTGTGTTTTTTACCTCCACAATTACTGTTTTTAAAATACTTTAATATTTTTGCTAATTTTGTTTTTCTGATATTCAATAATTGTGCTTTTATTCATTATTCAATTTATTTTAAATTTCTAAAATTAATCTACATATTTTTATTTTATGATTGCTTTATGAAAATTTTATAACTTTTTTTGATGGGGCCATGTCGCCCTGATATTTTGCATACATTGTAATCTATGAGACTTAGACATTAAAAAAAGAAAAAAGCTACCTGTCACCTGGGTCTAGTATGTGGAGTAATTTGTCATTTTAATTTCTTTTAGTTATGTGTTCTCATTTTGCTGAAAACCTTTGGCCAGAGCAAGACATGAAAGATTTTTTCCAAAAAGTCATACTGAGGAGATATGAGAAATGTGGACATGAGAATTTACAACTAAGAAAAGGCTGTAAAAGTATGGATGAATGTAAGGTGTGCAGAGGAGATTTTAATGGACTTAACCGATGTCTGATAACTATCAAGAGCAAATTATATCAATGTGATAAATATGTGAAAGCCTTTTATAAATTTTCAAATTCAGTTAGACATAAGATAAGACACACTAAAAAGAAAATATTAAAATGTGAAGAATGTGGCAAATCGTTTTGCATGCTTTCACAACTAACTCTACATAAGAGAAATCATATTAGAGAGAATTCCCACAAATGTGAAGAATGTGGAAAAGCGTTTAACCGGTCGTCATACCTTACTCGACATAAGAGAATTCACAGTGGAGAGAAACCCTGCAAATGTGAAGAGTGTGGCAAGGCCTTTAACCGGTCCTCATACCTTACTCGACATAAGAGAATTCACAGTGGAGAGAAACCCTGCAAATGTAAAGAATGTGGCAAAACCTTTAACCAGTCTTCATACCTTTCTCGACATAAAATAATTCATAGTGGAGAGAAACCTTACAAATGTGAACAATGTGGCAAAGCCTTTAACCGATCTTCACACCTTACTAGACATAAGATAATTCATACTGGAGAGAAACCCTACAAATGCGAACAGTGTGGCAAAGCCTTTAACCGATCCTCATACCTTACCCAACATAAGAGAATTCATACTGGAGAGAGACCCTACAAATGTAAAGAATGTGGCAAAGCCTTTAATGACTTCTCAGCCCTTACTCGACATAAGACCATTCATACTGGAGAGAAACCCTACAAATGTAAAGAATGTGGCAAAGCCTTTAATTACTTCTCAACTCTTGCTCGACATAAGATAATTCATACTGGAGAGAAACCTTACAAATGTGAACAGTGTGGCAAAGCCTTTAACTGGTCTTCACACCTTACTCGACATAAGATAATTCATACTGGAGAGAAACCTTACAAATGTGAACAGTGTGGCAAAGCCTTTAACTGGTCTTCACACCTTACTCAACACAAGAGAATTCATACTAGAGAGAAACCCTATAAATGTAAAGAATGTGGCAAAGCCTTTAAGCAGTCCTCAACTTTAACTCAACATAAGATTATTCATACTGGAGAGAAACCCTACAAATGTGAAGAATGTGGCAAAGCCTTTAACGACTTCTCAACACTCACTCAACATAAGATAATTCATACTGGAAAGAAACCATACAAGTGTAAAAATGTGGCAAAGGATAAGATAATTTATACTAGAAAGAAACCCTACAAATGTGAAGAATGTGGCAAACCTTTTAATTGTTTCTCAAACTTGACTGTACATAAGAGAATTCATGCTAGAGAGAACCCCAACAAATGAGAAGAATGTGGCAATGCTAGTAACTATTCCACAAACCTTACTAAACGTAACCCATGATGGAGAAAAACCATATGAATGTTAAAGAATGTGTCAAAGCTTTTAAGGGTTCCTCAGTCTTTACTAAACATAAGGGAATTCATAATAGAGAATCCCTACAAATCTGAAGAATGTGGGCTGGCTTTTAACAAATCATCAACATTTACTAAGCACAAAGTAATTGATACTGGATAGAAACCCTTCAAATGGGATGACTGTGGCATAGCCTTTACCTAGTTCTCAACTGTTACTAAACATGAGAATTCATGTAGAAGATAAAGCCTACAAATATTAAGAAAGTGAGAAAGCCTTTAAAAGTTCTCAAACCTTATTACACATAATTTATACTGGACAGAAATCCTAGCGTGTGAAGAATGTCACAAAGCCCTTAACAACTTCTCAATTCTTAACAAATATAAGATGATTTATACTGGAGTGAAACGCTACAATCCTGAATGATGTCACAGTGCTTTTAACAACACCACAAAGTTTTCTAAACTTAAAAAATATATATACTAGTGCAAAACCATAAAGACATAAAGAATGTGAAAAAGCTTTTAAATGGTTTTCACAGTTGATTGCAGGTAAAATAATTTATACTGGAGATAACTCCCAAGAGTGAAGAATATGGCAAAACTCCTAACCAGTGTTCACAACTTATTGCACAGGAAAGCATTTATACTTGAGAAATGGTGTACAAATACAAAGAATGTGGCAAAGTCATTAATATCTGCTTATCATATTATGCAACGTCAGAGTTTATTTTTTTTTTTTGAGATGGAGTTTCGCTCTTGTTACTCAGGCTGGAGTGCAATGGCGTGATCTCGGCTCACCGCAACCTCCGCCTCCCGGGTTCAGGCAATTCTCCTGCCTCAGCCTCCTGAGTAGCTGGGATTACAGGCACACGCCCATCTAATTTTTGTATTTTTAGTAGAGATGGGGTTTCACTATGTTGACCAGGATGGTCTCCATCTCTTGACCTCGTGATCCACCCGTCTCGGCCTCCCAAAGTGCTGGGATTACAGGCTTGAGCCACCGCGCCCGGCCACTTTTTTTTTTTTTTTTTTTTTGAGACAGAATCTCGCTTTATTGCCAGGATAAATGGAATGCAGAGGCACGATCCCAGCTCACTGCAACTTCCATTTTCAGTTTCAAGCAATTCTTCTTCCTCAGCCACCCAAGTAGCTGGGACTACAGGCACGCACTATCACACCCAGCTAATTTTTTGTACTTTTAGTAGTAGAGACGGGGTTTCACCATGTTGGCCAGGATGGTCTCGATCTGTTGACCTTGTGATCTGCCCGCCTCGGCCTCCCAAAGTGCTGGAATTACAGGCATGAGTCACCACGCCCAGCCCAGAAACTATTTATTCTTATTAAGGGGAAAGCAATAGCAATAATAATAATAAAAAGATCTCTTCAATCCATGAGTAGCCTTTCAGGTGGTGACATCAGTCCTCACAAAAAGAACATAAGAGCAGTGTCCTGAATGAAGCCAAAATCCACTATACGACTCCTTTCTTTATTCTGATCATGTTACTTTTTTTTTTTCTTTTTTTTTTTTTTTTCCACACAGGGTCTCACTCTGTTGCCCAGGCTGAGTGCACTGGTGTGATCTCGGCCCACTGTAACCTACACCTCTTGAGATCAAGAGATTCTCCAGTCTCAGTCTTCTGAGTAGCTGAGATTGCAGGTGCCCACCGCTACACCTGGCTAAGTTTTGTATTTTTAGTGGCAATGGAGTGTCACCATATTGGCCAGGCTGGTCTTGAACTCCTGACCTCAAGTGATATGCAATTCTGATCGCATTACTCTTAATTCAGTGATTTGTTTTTTGGCTCTACAATAAAAATTCTTGGATGTTTGGATCCATGAGTGCTTCACCTCATGGCCAAATGAAATGGAAGCAATCTGTTAACCTATCAGTTTGAGCCTCCAGACCTCCTATTTGTTCTTCACCCAAGTATCAGTAAACTGAAGCAACTTCCATTTGGACACCAAAAAAGGAGATTGCTTCTGTGAGGGGAGAAACAAGCCCTGGATTACTCATTCTTTTTTTGTTTTGTTTTGTTTTGTTTTGTTTTGTTTTGAGACGGATTTTCGCACTTGTTACCCAGGCTGGAGTGCAATGGCGCGATCTCGGCTCATTGCAACCTCCGCCTCCTGGGTTCAGGCAATTCTCCTGTCTCAGCCTCCTGAGTAGCTGGGATTACAGGCACGCGCCACCATGCCCAGCTAATTTTTTGTATTTTTAGTAGAGACGGGGTTTCACCGTGTTTAGCGGGATGGTCTCGATCTCTTGACCTCGTGATCCACCCGCCTCAGCCTCCCAAAGTGCTGGGATTACAGGCTTGAGCCACGGTGCCCGGCCTGCTCATTCTTTCTCTAAGATGGGAGGAAGGTTAGATTCTGTTGTCAGCCTGACCCCCTGTCTACACAGGACATCCCCAAATGTCTCAAAGACTCCTAGGTGTTACTGAGAGGATCCGCAGTGGCCCTGGGCTGATGCTCCAATAGTTATTCAAACAGTGGAGACTCAGGCTGACTCAGTGGGTCCAGAATAAAAGAGAGAACAGCCTTGCCTTACGGGACAGAGCTACTCTGCTCCCTTCTCAAACGTCTGGGAATAGCCCCACTGCCACCGGCAGCCTCAGCCTTGACTGTTGCCCGTGAGTGAACCTGGGGCTCCAAAGGATTAGCAGGGGCTATAGTGGCCTGGGCCCAACTTAGCTAAGGTGGCATAGGGTGAGAGGCTCTGTGCTGTATTCCTTCTGAGGGTCCCTTTGCAGTCTCAGTATGTGGTATGTGTACCAGCCCCAGCTGGAGCAGCCATAACTGCTGCCAGTTTAGGCACATGTCCTGGGTGCTGGAGACCTGGGCTGCCTTCAAGCCACTCCCCTGAGATTCTGGGGCAGTCAGAAGATGTGGGCTCTGGGTGGGAGCAGCCCACCTTGACAGCACTGTCACTGCCTTCGGCCACCTGAGGCAACCCTCAGGACTCCCCAACCGTGTATAGTGCACCTTCGTTTATCAGTACAGCCCCCACTCCTGACACCCAACCCTTGCATTCTGCATTAGAGAGTTCTCTGAAAACTGTAAGTGGCAGTCTTGCCAATGGATGATCTGGAATGTGACAAGGAGCACTTGCTTTGAGAGAAGTTTCAGGGTAATTGTGTAAGACAGCAATCCTGTCACAGCCTCCTCTCAGGGACAGGCCTCAGCTCTAGGGCAGCCCATCTTCTGTCGCAGGCATCTGCTGTGTCCCTGGGGCTGAGCGAGGCAGAGGATGCATGGGTGACCCCGTCTGTCACTGGTGAGAAGCAAGGCTGCCTTCCACATGCTCCTCAGGATGCCAAGAGGCCTAGAAACTCAGAAACCCCCTTTGAGGAGCTGTGCTCACATGAGTGCCAGAAAGGGCAAAGCTCCTGTCCCCAGGCCTAGGCATGCAGCTGGCTCCACCATCCCCACTTTCTCCTCCACCCCTACACATGTAGGCTAGCCTTGTCCTGGGACCGAGACCCTGCCCTGGGCTGGGGCTTTTCCAGCAGCCACCAAAGCCTAGCAGACTTTCTGCATTTGAGAAACATGAGAAAGGACCCAGCGGCCCTCTGCATCCATCCTGGCCTTCCCAGTCCAGCCCTGTCCCCAGGCACTGCACAGCCTGTTTGGGGGCCAGACCACCCCATTGCCCATCCTTGTCATTAATGAGTCCCTGGCCTCTACCAAGCATGTGTGGCCATTGTGTACCTGCCCTAGTGACTGAGTTGCTTTGTAAGGAGCAGAGCATGTGTTTTTTGCCTCAGAAACTATAGTTTCTTGTGTAACAGACCAATAAACAGCATTTGTCAACCAAAAAAAAGGAAGGAAAAAAGAGAGGGAAGGAGGGAGGGAGGGAGGGGAAAAGAAAAAAGAAAAGAGAAAAGAACAGCCTTTAATTTTCAATCCAGATCTGATATTACCTATACCTGCTCAACTAACCGCTGGGTACAAGGACAAGAATGCCTTTGTCCAGTAATGCAATTCACACATGGGAGATGTACTTGTCTTCATGGCTCTGGACAGTTGTGGCCCTGCCCTCCGTCTGCTCCTGTGTTTCTTTGCACTTAAGAGATTCTGCCACCAGATTCAGCTTATACCAGGGAACCCTCACACAACCACAACAGCTCATTGGACAAGATCCAAAGTCTGGTCCTTTCTTGTGAATCCCAGGTGGATGTCAGCCCTTATGTGTGGATTCTAGGTACCATTAATCTGGCTCTGTATTCTGGCCATCACCTGTGTGCTGGGCCTAGTGATAAGTCAGCCCCTGTTCTGTGATCAGGGCTCAGGCAGGAGAGAAGGGTATTATCACCTAGGTGCTTGGCCCAGATATGTTACAGTGTCTCCTAGGGAAAAGCCCATGTAAAAGTGGAGAGTAACACAAAATAGATGATGGGTCGACCACACCCAGTCGGCCCATTGTCTATTTTGTGTTACTGCCCCAGAATCTCAGGGGAGTGGCTTCTCAAGTTCAATAATTTGATACACCTGTAATTCCAACACTTTGGGAGGCTGAGGCAGGCCGATCACTGGAGGTCAGCAGTTCAAGACCAGCCTGACCAACATGGTGAAAACCTGTCAATACTAAAAATACAAATGACCATATTGATCAGGTTGGTCTTGAACTCCTGAACTTTTGATCCGTTGGCCTCTGCCTCCCAAAGTGCTGGGATTACAGAGGCGAGCCACTGCGCCCAGCCAGTCCAGTAATTTTATTTTATTTTATTTTTTTAGATGGCGTTTTGCTCTTGTTGCCCAGGCTCCAGTGCAATGGTGCAATCTCAGCTCACTGCAACCTCGGCCTCCGGGGTTCAAGTGATTTTCCTGTCTCAGCCTTTGGAGTAGCTGGGATTACCACGCCCGGCTAATTTTTTTTTTTTTTTTTTTTTTTTTTTTTTAGTTTTTGTAGATACAGGGGTTTCATCATATTGGTCAGGCAGGTCTCGAACTCCTGATCTCAGGTCACCCATCTCAGCCTCCCAAACCGCTGGGATTACAGGCGTGAGCCACCGCGTCTGGCCCAATCCAGTAATTTAAAAAAAAAAGAGGCCGGGCGCCGTGGCTCACGCCTGTAATCCCAGCACTTTGGGAGGCCGAGGCGGGTGGATCACAAGGTCGAGAGATCGAGACCAACCTGGTCAACATGGTGAAACCCCGTCTCTACTAAAAATACAAAAAAATTAGCTGGGCATGGTGGCGCGTGCCTATAATCCCAGCTACTCAGGAGGCTGAGGCAGGAGAATTGCCTGAACCCAGGAGGCGGAGGTTGCGGTGAGCCGAGATCGTGCCATTGCACTCCAGCCTGGGTAACAAGAGCGAAACTCCGTCTCAAAAAAGAAAAAAAAAAAAAAAGAGAGGTCAGACTGAGATGCAGCACAGTCAGGGCAAAATTACCCTGAGAATAGCCACTTCACAAAGATCGGGTGAAGCTTTTCTAAGATGGGCAAATTTGGGCAACATAATATGTCCAAATGTTCTGTTTCTTACCCTTAGGTAACTACTAAAATGCATTATGCAAGCAGACCCAGGGAAAGAGCAAGTGTATTTCAAGGGAAAATACGCTAAGACTAAGGGAAAGAGCAAGTGTATTTCAAGCCTCAGCTCACTTGTTAATTAGCTGTAATTCAGGTATGTGATCCCGCCTACTTGAGCCTGTTTCCTCCTCTAAAAAATGCACTAATGCTGGGGAGGGTAGGGGTGGGAGGTGGTCCTGAGGCTTTATCCAATCAGTGGCGCTGGCGTGGGAACCGTTCAATCAGAAGCGCCGTCGGGGAGGAGGGCGTGGCTTCCGGCGTGTGGCGGGGCCTTTGTCTCACCCGCGAGAAGTTGGGATCAATTTCTGCTGTTCAGCTCTTCCATCTCGGTATCCCCCCCGCTCCCCTCCGCCCCGTCCCGTGACTTTGTCACAGCTTCTGTTGCCTGTGATCTGCAGGTCCTGGGAGACGCAGAGCTAAGATGCCAGGACATTCTGGAAGCTGGGAAATGGTGAGTATGCGGCCTTGGGCCTCCCGAGAGCCGGGAGCGAGCTGTGAAACAAGCGGGAACAGGTCTCCCCACCGTCCTTTCCTGGGTCACCAACCTGAGTCCCCGGTGGCGCAGCTCGGCCCCAGGCCTGTCTGTCCGCAAGATGGCGGCTGGGCCCTCAGCTGAGACCCCTGCGCTCCACCCCCGCGCCCTACTTCCCTGCGTGGCGCCCTGTCTGGAGTTCCCTGGGCAGCTCTGCACCGGCATCCCAGAGTATTGCCCAGATTGTTCAGAGGCAAGTCAGCGGGGCGGAATCCTGACTCGGTGTGTACGCGGGACGGGCTGCGGCCCGGGGATCTTCAATTTCTGTTGTTAAAATTTTGTTTGTTTTTTTGAGACGGAGTCTCGCTCTGTAGCCCAGGCTGGAGTGTATTGGCCCGATCTCGGATCTGTGCAACCTCCGCCTCCCGGGTTCAAGCAATTCTCCTGCCTCAGCCTCCCGAGTAGTTGGGACTACAGGCGCATCCCGCCACGCCTTGCTAATTTTTTTTTTTTTTTTTTTTTTTTTTTTTTTTTTTTTTGTATTTTGGTAGATTCGGGGTTTCACCATGTTGGTCAGGCTGGTCTCAAACTCCTGACCTTGTGATCGACCTGCCTCGGCCTCCCAAAGTGCTGGGATTACAGGTGTGAGCCACCACACCTGGCCTTTATTTATTTTATTTTTTTAAAGACGGAGTCTCACTTTGTCACCCAGGCTGGAGTGCAGTGGCATGATCTTGGCTCACTGCAGCCTTCTCCTGGGTTCAAGTGATTCTCCTGCTTCCACCTCCCAAATACCTGGGATCACATGTGCATGCCACTATGTCCGGGTAATTTTTTATATTTTTAGTAGAGATAGGATTTCACCATGTTGACCAGGCTGGTCTTGAACTGCTGACTTCAAGTGATCCACCCACCTCGGCCTCCCAAAGTGCTGGGATTACAGGTATGAGCCACCATGCTCAGCCAAGAATTACCACTTTTTTGAATACTATATAAATCTCTTGTGGTACAGAGAGTGTCACTATAGGGTTCAGCACACAGGTGAGATTGTGTTTCTTCTTTGCTCACCTGCTAACCGTTATGATTGTCACCCTCACATAGTGATGGAGCCCACTGGTAAGGTCCTGAATCGCATGTACAGACACAGTCCACAGTTGAAATTGTGGGGTCATATGTGAACATTCAGCAAGAGTTTGAATAATGACTCATTTCTAAATCTAGTTCATAGGCAGGGGAGAATTTTTCTATCTGAACCAATGAAAATTCTGCCTTCATGTCCTCTGGAGGACATGTTGACTCTCACACCAGAGCTGAGGGCAGAGCGAACACAGTTCATAAGAGGGATGGACATTGGTGAGATTGTCAGTAGCGTACTTAGACTCAACATAAAGAATGTGGTGACTCTCATACCTAGAACGGGAACCTGTGTGGGATTATTAATTCATCACTGGACCTTCCTGCAGGTGTGATGGTGACATACTCCTTTGTCCAGCACCTGAGTGATTACAGTTTCCTGCCTGGTCCCATCCCAAAGGTAAGATTGTAGTATATCACTGGTCCCAGCGCCCAGTCCTCTTTTTATGGGACCCCACAAATTTTGAGTATTATAAAATATTACTGGATTCTGTACCCATGTTACGTGACTCTCCCACTTGTACCCTACATGTTGTGCCATATTGTGGCACAATATGTTGCATTAGAAATGGTTACATGTAAGACTGGGGACAATGGCTCATTCCTGTGATGCCACCACTTTTGGGAGGCTAAGGCAGGTGTATCACCTTAGGTCAGGAGTTCAAGACCGGCCTGATCAATACGGTAAAAACCCATCTCTACTAACAATAAAAAAATTAGCCGGGAGTGGGAACTAGAGTGTGCCTGTGGTTTCAGTGACTCAGGAGGCTGAGACAGGAGAATTGCTTGAACCCAGGACATGGAGGTTACGGTGAGCTGAGATTCGCCACTGCACTCCAGCCTGGGTGACAGAATGAGACTCTTGTCTCAAAAAAAAAAAAGTTACGTATTGCTGGGTCCAACACCCAGGGTATGTAACACTTTTTCTTTCTGGACCCTGCCTACATGAAGCTTTGTTTGTCATATAACTCAGTGATGCCCATCACCATGGTGATGTTACTTTCTTGTTGTTGTTGTTGTTGTTGAGGTGGAGTCTTGCTCTGTTGCCCAGGCTGGAGTGCAATAGTGTGATCTTGGCTCACTGCAACCTCTGCCTCCCAGGTTCAAGTGATTCTCCTGCCTCAGCGTCCTGAGTAGCTGGGACTACAGGCATGTGCCACCACGCTTGGCTAATTTTTGTATTTTTAGTAGAGATGGGGTTTCACCCTGTTGACCATGCTGGTCTCAAACTCCTGACCCCAGGTGATCCACCAGCCTTGGCCTCCCAAAATGCTGGGATTACAGGTGTGACCCACTGTGCCCAGCCAGTGATGTTACTTTCTTCTGCCTGGTCTCTGCTCACAGAGACCTAGCATCAAGGTGATGTGACTCTCTTTTCTTATTCTCTACATATTTGTGTATTGTGACATAGTGCTTGGCTCAATATCTAAAGGATGGGAGTCTCCTACCTGGGCCCTTCCTACAGGGAGCATTGTGACATATGTCTGCCTTCCTCACCTAGGAGATGAAACTTTCTTCTGCCTGCACCCTGCCTACAGTGAAATTGAGGCATATTGCTGTGACCAGCAACCAAATGATGTGTTTTTTCTGCCTGGGTCTTTATTACTGGAATGGTGGTTGACATGCTGCTGTGCCCAGCATCGTGGTGGTGTGACTGTCTTCTTCTGCATTGTCCCTGCTTACTGGAACATTGTAGCATATTGCTACACCCAGCACCTAGCTGATGGGATTCTTCCCTGGTTTTAGGTTTTGCCTGCAGCAGACATTGTGACACATTGCTGGGCCCTGCACTGACATTATGTGACTCTTCTGCCTGTGATATGCCCACTTGGGCCCTTGTGACATATTGCTGGGTCCAACAGCCGGGTGATACAACTTTTATGCCTGGACCCTGCTTATGGGTGACATTTTGAAATGTCTTTGCACCAGTCACACAGGTGATTTGACTTTCTGTCTTACTGGTCTCTGCTCTCAGGAAGTTTTGTGACGTTTTGCAGCACATAGCTGATTTTATATATATATATATATATATATATTTTGAGACTGAGTTTGCTCATGTTGCCAAGGCTGGAGTGCTGTGGCGTGATCTCAGCTCGACACAGACAACCTCCACCTCCCGGGTTTAAGCGATTCTCCTGCCTCAGCCTCCCTAGTAGCTGAGATTACAGGTATGCACCACCAAACCCAGCTAATTTTGTATTTTTAGTAGAGAATAGGGTTTCTCCATGTTGGTTAGGCTGGTCTTGAACTCCTGAACTCAGGTGATCTGCCTGCCTAGGCCTCCCAAAGTGCTGGGATTACAGGTGTGAGCCACTGTGCCTGGCCCTAATTTTCTTTTTTTTCTTAGTTTTTCCTTCAGGAAAGATTGTGAAATATTGCTAAATCCAGCACCAAATTGATACTACTTTTTTTTTGAGACAGAGTTTTGCTCTTGTTACTCAGGCTAGTGTGCGATGGCGCGATCTCGGCTCACTGCAACCTCCGCCTCCTGGGTTCTGGCAATTCTCCTGCCTCAGCCTCCTGAGTAGCTGGGATTACAGGCACGCATCACCATGCCCAGCTAATTTTTTTTTTGTATTTTTAGTGGAGACGGGGTTTCACCATGTTGACCAGGATGGTCTCGATCTCTTGACCTTGTGATCCACCCGCCTCGGCCTTCCAAAGTGCTGGGATTACAGGCTTGAGCCACCGCGCCTGGCCACTACTCTTATTTTTTTCTTGGCCCTGCTCAAATAAGACATTGTGACATATTGGTGGGTTTTACATCCAAGTGATGTGAGTTTCCTGCCTGGACTATGCTTACAGAAAATATTTTGATACATCTTTGAGCTCATCAGCTATTTTATGTGACTCTCCTTTTTTATCTGGGCTTTGTTCATAGATCAGATTGTAATATATCTTTTTTTTTTTTTTTGAGACGGAGTTTCACTTTTGTTACCCAGGCTGGAGTGCAATGGCACGCTTTCGGCTCACCGCAACCTCCTCCTCCTGGGTTCAAGCAATTCTCCTGCCTCAGCCTCCCGAGTAGCTGGGATTACAGGCACGTGCCACCATGCCCAGCTATTTTTTTGTATTTTTAGTAGAGACAGGGTTTCACCATGTTGACCAGGATGGTCTCGATCTCTTGACCTCGTGATCCACCCGCCTCGGCCTCCCAAAGTGCTGGGATTACAGACTTGAGCCACCGCGCCCGGCCCAGATTGTAATATATCTTTGGGCCTGGGTCATTCTAACATTAAGGAGAGTGACTTATTGCTTGGCCCAGCACATAGGTGATGTGATTCTTATGCTTGGTCCCTGTACAAGTAGTCAGTGTGACATATCTCTCGGCCAATCACCTAAATAATAAATCTCTCTTTTTTTCTGAACCTGTCCACGGTAGGAAATGTGAGATATCTCTTGGCCCAGCACCGATGCGATGTGACTCTCCTCTCATGCCTACGCCCTGCCCACTGTAGTGATTGTGCCACCAGCTCCTACGTTATCTGACTCTTGTCTTCTTCCTGAGCCCTGCAAACAGGTAGCACCAGGAAATATCTCTGGGGCCTTTCACCTAGGTGATGTGACTTTTCTGCCTGGATTCTCCTCTCAGGGGTTATTGTGACATGTTGCTAGATGCAGCATTTAGTTTATATGTTATCTTCTCTACTGCTTGGACTCTGACCAAAAAAAAAAAAATGATTTAGATGTATCGCTAGGCCCAGCCCCTACACACTGGAATTCTTGTCTTGTCTTGTCTGGGCCTTGCATACATTTTGTATTGTGACATATAGCTGGGTCTGTCACCAAGGTGATGGGAGTCTCTGACATAATCCCTGGCCAGGAGAGTATTATGACATATTTTATTAATTCATCACCTAGGTGATGTGACTTTTTTCAGCCTGCACCCTGCCAAAGGAGGAGGATTGTGATGTATCACTGGACCCAGCACCTAGATGATGTAATTCTCATCTTTTGCTTGGACCTTGCATATTTTGGATATTGTTACATATCACTGGGTCTGACATTCAGGGATAGGAGGCTCCTGCCTGGGCTCTGCCCACAGGAAACCTTGTGACATATTTAGACATCTATCAATTATAAGATGTGACTTTCCTCATCTATGTGCACCATGTCCCAAAAAAAGATTGTAACATATCACTGGGATCAGCAACCAGATAATATGTCTCACCTCTCAGGGTGTTGCTCACAGAGAGCATTGTAACATATCGCTGGGCCCAGCACCCAGATGATGTAACTTGCTGCCTGTGCCCATCTTATAGGGAGAGATTTTAAGGCATCTCTGGCCAAGCATCTAGGTGATGTGACTCTCCTGCCTGGTCCTTGCCCTCAAAAAATATTGTGACATATCTTTGGACCAGCCCCAGGTGATGTGACTCTCCCGCTCACTCCCTACCCATGGGTGTAATTGTAACATATATTTTGCCCCAACTTACAATCACTATGATGATTCTCATACCTTGAACCAGGCAGTAAAAGAGATACACATTGCCTTGCTAGGCTTGGGAAAACAAACATGATTCTGAGTTTTCTTTTTTTGCAAAGGTCATAGAGAATTACCACTCTCTCAAATGTAAAAAGCTCTCAGGTGTCACAGAGAGTATCATCACAAGCCAAAAACACAGATGAGATTGTGTTTTTTTTTTGTTTGTTGAGACTGAGTCTTACTCCCCTCCAGCATAGGCTGGAGTGCAGTGGTGCGATCTCAGTTCATTGCAACCTCCACCTCCTGGGTTCAAGTGATTCTCCTTCCTCAGCCTCCCAAGTAGCTGGGATTACAGGCGTGTATCACTATGCCCAGCTAATTTTTGTATTTTTTTTTCTTTCTTTTTTTTTGAGATGGAGTTTCGCTCTTGTTACCCAGGCTGGAGTGCAATGGCGCGATCTCGGCTCACCGCAACCTCCGCCTCCTGGGTTCAGGCAATTCTCCTGCCTCAACCACCTGAGTAGCTGGGACTACAGGCACGCGCCACCATGCTCAGCTAATTTTTGTATTTTTAGTAGAGACAGGGTTTCACCGTGTTGACCAGGATGGTTTCGATCTCTTGACCTTGTGATCCACCCGCCTCGGCCTCCCAAAGTGCTGGGATTACAGGCTTGAGCCACCGCGCCTGGCCTCTTTCTTTTTTTTGTAATTTTTGTATTTTTATTAGAGACAGAGTTTCACCATGTTGGTCAGGCTGGTCTGAAACTCTTGGCCTCAGGTGATCTACCTGCCTTGACCTTCCAGAATGTTAGGATTACAGGCCTGAGCCACTACACCCGGCTGAGATTGTGTTTCTTTCTTTCTTTTTGAGATGGAGTATTGCTCTTATTGCCCAGGCCGGGGTGCAGTGGTGCAATTTTGGCTCACTGCCTCTCCTTCCCGGGTTCAAGTGATTCTCCTGCCTTAGCCTCTCGAGTAACTGGGATTACAGGCACCAGCCACCATGCCCAGCAAATTTTCTGTATTTTTAGTAGAGACGGGGTTTCACGGTGTTGGGTCAGGCTGGTCTCGAACTCCTGACCTCAGGTGATCTGCCTGCCTCGGCCTCCCAAAGTGCTGGGATTACAGGCATGAGCCACCGCTCCCGGCCCGAGATTGTGTTTCTTAAATGAACACCTTGCCAATCATTATAATTGTAACCTTAGCATGGACAAAGCTCATTGATGAGATCTTAAATCTCACATGCAGATGCAGTCCACAGTTGGAATTGTGACTGTGATATGCAAACATCCAGCCAGAGTAGGAATGATGGCTCATTTCTAAACATAGCCCATAGACAGGTGAGGACTCTCCTATATGGATCATTCAATTGGAGAGATGCTGACTCTTAAATCTGGGCCTGGGGCCACAGGTATGATCATGTGTTCATGCGACCATGAAGATCTGAGAGTGGATTCGAATCTAATGCATATTGTATAAAGCCCTTGGGTAACACGCTGAGTGCCCTTACGTGGCCCAGCACATAGGTGACATTATGACACTCATGCACAACCAGCCAACAGTAAATATTGTCATCCCTTAACATAAACACAACCCACTTCTGAAGTTCTGGATGTCACACCTGGAGGCAGTGGAAAGTTGCAAAATTGACTCTTTGTTTTTTTGTTTTGAGATGGAGTGCAGTGGCATGATCTCAGCTCACTGCAACATCCACCTCCTGGGTTTCAGCTGTTCTGCCTCTGCCTCCCACGTAGCTGGGACTACAGGCACATGCCACCCTGCCCGGCTAATTTGGTATTTTTAGTATAGACAGGGTTTCACCATGTTGGCCAGGCTGGTCTCTAACTCCTGACATCAGGTGATCCGCCTGCCTCAGCCTTCCAAAGTGCTGGGATTACAGGTGTGAGCCACCATGGCTGACTGTAAAATTGACTCTTCTTTGTGAATCTGGTTCACAGATGGATTGGTGCCTCTCAGATCAAGGTTCAGCACACCTGTGAGACTGTGATTTTACTGAGGAGACACAGTCTGCAGAAGAGATTGAGGCTGTTAATCATGGATTCATCCACATTGAGATTGTGATTTCTGTACTTAAACCCAACATCCAAATGGTATTGACTCTCATACCTTGAATGAAGACATGTGAAGAATTGTTTATCTCATTTCTGGGTCTTTCTGCAGGTATGATTGTGACACAGGCCACTGCTCAGAACATGAGTGATTTGACTCCTGCCTGGGCCCAGCATACAGATAGGATTGCGACATATCGCTGGACCCAGCATGTAGATGATGTGACCCTATACTCTTGCCTTGGTGCTGCCATAGAGGGCATTGTGACATATCAGTATTCCCTGCACCCAGGTAATGTGTTTCTCTTTTCTGTGCCACATGGGATATTGTAACATATTGCTGGGTCTAACAAGAAGGTGATAGGAATCTCCTACTTAGACCCTGGCTACAGGAGACATTTTGCTGTATTTCTGGACCCATCATCTTTTTTTTTTTGAGATGGAGTCTTGCTCTTTCACCTAGGCTGAAGTGCAGTGGTGCAATCTTGGCTCACTGCAGCCTCTGCCTCCCAAGTTCAAGCAGTTCTCCTGCCTTAGCTTCCCGAGTAGCTGGGACTATAGGCATGCATTGCCATGCCTGGCTAAGTTTTTGTATTTTTAGTAGAGATAGGGTTTCACCATGTTGGCCAGTTTGGTCTCAAACTCCTGACTTCAGGTGATCCGCTGGCTTCAGCCTCCAAAAGTGCTGGGATTACAGGCGTAAGCCACCACACCTGGCTCTATTATTTTTTTTTTTTTTAGATGGATTTTTGCTCTTTTTGCCCAGGCTGGAGTGTAGTGGCGTGATCTTGGCTTACCGCAACCTTTGCCTCCGGGTTCAAGTGATTCTCCTGCCTCAGCCTCCCAGGTAGCTGGGATTACAGACATGTGCCACCACGCCCAGCTAATTTTTGTATTTTTAGTAGAGACAGGTTTTCACCATGTTGGTCAGGCTGGTCTCGAACTCCTGACCTCAGGTGATCCACCTGCCTTGGCTTCCCAAAGTGTTAGGATTACAGGCATGAGTCACTGCGCCTGGCCAATCCATCATCTATTTTATGTTACTCTCCACTTTTACATGGGCTTTTCCCTAGGAGACATTGTAACATATGTGGACCAAGCACGTAGGTGATGTTACGCTTCTCTTCTGCCTGGCGCCTGACCACAGAAGAGGGGGTGACTTATCACGAGGCCCAGCATACAGGTGATGTGATTTTTCTGCCTGGTCCCTGTCCAGAGAGGACATTGTACACATTTGCCTGCACTGATAAACTGGACGATGTGACTCTCCTTTTGTCTCTGAGACTTTTCCACAGTTGGGATTGTGACATATCACCTGTCTCAGGACCTACATAATGTGATTTTTGTTCCATGCCTCAGTCCTGCCCACTGGGTGATTGTGACATGTAAGTAGGCCCAATTCCTCGGTTATGTGACTCTTCTCTTCTTCATTTAGGGCATTTTGACATATTTCTGGAGCCTTCTCTTACATGATGTGACTTTACTCCATGGGCTCCTTCTTTTCAGAGAGTATTGTGCCATAATTTTTGACCTAGTAACAAGGTGATGTTACCCTTGTCTTCTGCTTGGTTTTTGCCCAAGGAGGGATTGTGATTTATCACTAGGCCCAGCACCTTGGTGATGTGACTCTCCTCTCCTACTCTAGGTTTCAGGTAGAAAAGGAGAGTCACATCACTTAGAGGAGAAACAGAAAGATATGTCATAATTCTATTAGTAGGACCCATGCAGGAAAGTCACATCACCTAGTTGTTGGACCCAGCCATTTTTTTTTTTTTTTTTTTTTGAGACGGAGTTTCACTCTTGTTACCCAGGCTAGAGTGCAATGGCAAAATCTCTGCTTACTGCAACCTCTGCCTCCTGGGTTCAAGTGATTCTCCTGCCTCAGCCTCCTAGGTAGCTGGGATTACAGGCATGCACTACCATGACTGGCTAATTTTTTGTGTCTTTAGTAGAGACAGTGTTTTACCATGTTGACCATGGTGAAACATGGAGTTCGAGCGGTCTTGAACTCCTGACCTCGTGATCCACCCGCCTCGGCCTCCTAAAGTGCTTGGATTATAGGCGTGAGCCACCGTGCCCAGCCATAACTCTTCTTTTCTACCTGAACCCTGTAAAAGGGGAGGATTGTGACATATCACTGGACTTATATCTAGGTGATATCACCACTCTTCTCTTTAACCTGGGCCTCTTGTATTGTGGGTATTTTGACATATCGCTGGGTCAAACCAAATGGGTGAAAAGGTCTTGCTTGGGCCTTGTCTATAGGAAGCCTTGTGACGTATCTGTGCATCCAATACTTTGGAGGTATGACTCTCTTCTTCCATCTGCACCATGCCCACAGGAAGATTGTGATGCACCTCTGGGTTCAGCAGCCAGGTGCTATGTCTCTTGTGCCCAGGCCTTGCCTGCAGAGAGAATTGTGACATAGCTGGTCCCAGTATCCAAGTAATGTGATTGTCGTCTGTGCCTTGCTTTCGAGAGGGAATTATAACATAACACTGGACAGTTAACCAGGTGATATGACTCTCCTGCCTGGTCCCTGTCCTGAAAAATTGTGATATATTTCTTTTTTTTTTTTTTTTTTTTGAGACAGAGTCTCACTCTGTTACCCAGGCTGGAGTGCAATGGCACGATCTCAGCTCACTGCAACCTCCACCTCCCAGGTTCAAGCGGTTCTCCTGCCTCAGCCTCTCAAGTAGCTGGGATTACAGGTGCGTGCCACTGCACCCAGCTAATTTTTGTATTTTTAGTAGAGACGGAGTTTCAACATTTTGGCCAGGCTGGTCTCGAACTCCTGACCTTGTGATCCACCTGCCTCGGCCTCCCAAAGTGCTGGGATTACAGGCGTGAGCCATCGTACCCGGCAAATTGTGATATATTTCTGACCCAGCATACAGGTGATGTTACTCTCCTATTTACTTTCTACTCACAGGTTAGATTCTGTCATATACTTTCGTCCAGCTCACTGTTGTGATGATGATCCTCATACCACAAACCAGTCAATAGCAGAGATACTGGTGCTTGTAGCTAGACTTAGAGAAATGGGTAAAGTCCTGAGTCTTCTCTAGGTAGGAACATCATAAAGGATTACCATTCCTTTACATTTTGTATGTAGTCTTTGGACAGTACAGAGAGTGTTATGATAGGACCAAGAACATGGGTGAGACTGTGTTTCTCATATCCAGAACCTACTAAATGTTAACATTGACACCCTTACACATAGAGTGCACTGGGAGATCCTGAATTTCACATGTGAATGGAGTCCACAGTAAAAATTGTGATTGTCATATGTAATCACGTGACAGCAGTTAAGATGGTGACTCATTTCGAAACCCAGTTTATAGGCAGGTGAGGGCTCTTTTCTCTAGACCCAGACAATTGGAAAGATGTTGACTCTAATACATGAGCTTAGATCCACAGGTTTGATTATGAGTTTGTATTAGAAAAAAAGCCTCAGCCGGAAAATCTTCACCAGGGACGGTGGCTCATGCCTGTAATCCCAGCACTTTGGGAGGCCGAGATGGGTCGGTCTCCTGAGGTCAGGAGTTTGAGACCAGCCTGGCCAACATGGCGAAACCGCGTCTCTACTAAAAATACAAAAATTAGGGGGGCTGGTGGTGTGTGCCTGTAGTCCCAGCTACTTGGGAGGCTGAGGCACGAGAATCACATGAACCCAGAGGTTGCAGTGAGCTGAGACTGCACCATTGCACTACAGCCTGAGCAACAAGAGGAACACTTTGTCTCCACAAAGACAAAAAAAAGTCTCAGAACAAATTGTGACTATCATGCCTATTGTATAAAGCACTCAGGTGGTATGTGCCTATTGTTTAAAGCACTCAGGGCCTAGCACACAGGTGACATTATGACACTCATATGCAAACCCATCCAACAGTAAAAAATTGTCAACTTTTCACATGAACACAGCTCACTGTCGAAGTTCTGACTCACATCTGAGTGAGATGTGAGATAGCCAAAAGTTGGAAAATTGACCCTCATGTGGTTTAGGTTCACATGTGGGTTGGTGACACTCAGACCAAGATTCAGCATGCCTGTGAGGCTGTGAGTCCATTAAAGGGACACAGTCTGCAGCAAAGATTAAGGCTCTCATGCATGTTTCCAGTCCACCTTTGAGACTGTGACTAGAGTGTACTTAGACTGAACATACAAAATGTATTGACTCTAATACTTAGAAATAGGACATGTGGGATTTTTAAGTTCATTCCTACATTTTTTGCAACTGTGATTGTGACATACCCCTTTGCCCATCCCTGAGTGATTTTGACTCTCCTGCCTGGTACCTAGCCTACAGATTGGATTATGACACATTTCTGAATCCAGCACCTTGGTGGTGTGACTCTGTATTTTTGCCTCAGCATTGCTCACTGGAGCATTGTGACATTGCTAAGCTCCGCACCCTGGTTATGTGACTCTTCTGCTTGTGTCCTGCCTTAATGGGCCATTGTGACATATTGCTATGTGCAACATCCAGGTGATACAACTTTTCTTTGGTGGGGTCCTGCCTGCAGGAAGCATTATAATCTATCTGTGCACCCATCATCCAGGTAATGAGACTTTCTTCAGACAGAGTCTCACTCTGTTGCCCAGGCTGGAGTGCAGTGGTACAATCTTGGGTCACTGCAATCTCCGCTTCCTGGGTTCAAGCTATTCTCACGTCTCAGCCTCCGGAGTAGCTGGGATTACAGGCATCTGCCACCATATCTGGCTAGTAATTGTATTTTAGTAGAGATGGGGTTTTGCCATGTTGGTCAGGTTGGCCTCGAACTCCTGACCTCAGGTGATCCACCCGCCTCGGCCTCCCAAATTGCTGCGATTACAGGACTAAGCCACCGTGCCTGGCCCATGTGACTCTTTCTACTAGGTTCCGGCTCACAGAATTATTACCTATCACTGGGCCCAACACCTAGGTGTTGTGATGCTTCTTTTCTACATACATTCTGCTCACAGTGTAGATTTTGACATACTGCTGGGCCAAACATCAACATGACGTTACATTTTTCGTCAGCACTTTCCTCATCAGCCATTGCGACGTGTTCTGCTCAGAACTAAGGTAATGTCAGCCTCTTGTCTGAACCCTGCCCACAGTGGGCATAGTGACATATTTTTGAACCCATCATCTATATAATGTGACTTTTTTTTTTTGAGACGGAGTTTCGCTCTTGTTGCCCAGGCGATCTCAGCTCACCACAACCTCCGCCTCTCAGGTTCAAGCAATTCTCCTGCCTCAGCCTCCTAAGTAGCTGGGATTACAGGCAACCACAATCATGCCCGGCTATATTTTTGTATTTTTAGTAGAAACAGGGTTTTGTCATGTTGGTCAGCCTGGTCTGAAACTCCCCACCTCAGATGGTCCGCCCACCTTGGCCTCCCAAAGTGCTGGAATTACATGTGTGAGCTACCATTCCTGGCCTATAATGTGATTTTGTTTTCAGCCAAATAACACTCTATTTTCCTAGTTTCTTTTTTTATTTTTATATATTTTAATTCTTTATTCAGACAGTCTATTGTGGGATATTTTCCTAGTTTCAATGCTTTTGTCTTTGTCCGAGAAAGAGAGGAGACTGGAAAACACCATCATCAAATTTCCTAGTAGTTGTTGAATCACGGTATCAGAGTAGCTCAGGAAACTCAACCAAGTTACCGTCTTCTTCCTCGATGACTTGTGCTGGTTGTCCAGGCATCACCTTCTTGAAAAAATACCAGACGTTGTTTTTGAAGCGTTTCAGCATCTTGTAAGCAAGGGAAGCTGTCTTGTTGAGTACGTAGATTGAGCATGTTTTTTATTAGAATCATCAACCTGGCAATTAAGATTCTCGTTGCTAGTTTTGGCAAGTGTGTCATTAACTGATCAGGAAGCCATTTTTCTATCTCACCCATAAGAAAATGAACCACTACATCCACCAGAATTTCCATGGTCGTGTTCGTTATTAGTGAAGTAAATGAGCCCATGGTAAGTGTGACGAGCATTCTTTTGGTTTCAGGTGAAGTTATGTAATGGCCTAATGTGACTTTCTTACTTGGCTTTAGCCTCTAGGAGAGACTGTGGCATATATTTGGCCCTGGAACCTAGATAATGTGACTCTTCTTTCCTGCCATGGCCCTGCTCTCATAAAAATGAGAGTGACTTATCACTGGGATCAGCACAGAGGCTACGCAATTCTTCTGCCTGGTTCCTCTCCACTGGGGTCACTTTGACATATCTCTGGGCCCATTAGACGATGTGACCCCTCTTCTTCCTGGGATGTGTTTACAGTTTGGATTGCAGCATATCACTTAGTCCAGCACCTATGTGATGTGACTCTTTTCTCATGCTTTGGTCTTGTCCACTGAGGTGCTTGTGCTGTATAGCTGGGCCCAGCTCTTAGGTTATGTGATTTTTCTTTTTTCATATTGAGCCTTACACACAGGGGGCATTGTGACATATCTCTGTTCCTTTCACCTAGATGATGTGTCTTTTGCCAGGGCTCTTTTCTCAGAGGGTATTATGGTATTTCTGGACCCAGAACCTAGGTGATGTGACTCTCTTCTACTGCCTGGGTTCTGCCTATGATGTGACATTTTTTTTTGCCTGATCTCTACATATAGTTCATATTGTGATATATGGCTGGGTCCAACACCTAGGTAAGTCTAGGTGAGTCTCCTGCATGGGCTTTGTTCAGCAAGGTATTATGACATACTGTTTTTTTAAATCACTTAAGTGTTGTGACTCTCCTTATTTCCTGTGTCTCACATAGTTTAAGTATTTTATATATTGAATCCGAGACCAACACATAGGGGATGGGAAACTCCTTTCTTGACCCTGACCACAGAGGCTTTGTGACATACCTGCATCGATGACCTAAATATGTGACTCTTTGTTTCTTCTTGCACCCTGCTAACAGAGAAGATGGAGACAAATTGCTAAGTGCGGTGTATCTTGTGCTGACCTCCTCTCTCATCCTGTGACAAGAATGCCTAACCTGGGGATGCAGCCAAGTAGGGTTAGCATCATTTCACGCAGCTGCTATTCAAGATTTCTGGTTTGAATGCCTCCGACATTAAGATCCACTATAAAATTATGCAAAAAGTCTATTTGAATTATAGTGAATGAGAATTAAAAGAATTAGGGTGGGCTATTCTGAAAGATGTAGTGATAGTTATATTTGTGTTTATGAGTTTTTTTAAATTAACCTTTGTTTGTTACTTAAGAATAGATATTTTCTCAAGCCTGTAATCCCAGCACTTTGGGAGGCCGAGGCAGGTGGATCACGAGGTCAAGAGATCAAGACCATCCTGGTCAACATAGTGAAACCCCGTCTCCACTAAAAATACAAAAAATTAGCTGGGCGTGGTGGCGTGTGCCTGTAATCCCAGCTACTCAGGAGGCTGAGGCAGGAGAATTACCTGAACCCAGGAGGCGGAGGTTGCGGTGAGCCGAGATCGCGCCATTGCACTCCAGCCTGGGTAACAAGAGCAAAACTCCATCTCAAAAAAAAAAAAAAAAAAGAATAGATATTTTGTTTTATTCTGTCTAGTTTAAACAGATACACTTGATCATGAAAGGGGTTTCCACTGTTAAAGGAAAATAAATCTCTTGATGCCAAAATTATCAAGTGAATAGAAAAATCAAGCTGGGAACTAAGTCTGGCAAACCTGCTTCCCATTTTATTTGTAAATAAGATAGATACAAAGATAAAAAAGCTACATTGTGGGTATCCACAATTAGCCAGCAAGAAAATTCCTTGAGAACAAATGACAGATGGAACTCAAAACCATTTCTCTGAGCCTCGCCTGAGATAAATGCGTATCTGTTTGCTTCCTCTGCACTATTGTTAATTTAGAAATGCAGATTCACTGAGCCAGAGTAAATTGTATATTCAGTCGAATGTTTATCAAGGACTCAAAAGAATCTGACCTTTTGTCTCTTATTTACTTATCATCTGGAAGCCCCTACCTCAAGTTGTCCTGCTTTACTGAATCACATGTACATCTTACTCATATTCATTGATGCCTCATGTCTTCCTAAAATGTATAAAAGCAAGCTGTGCCCTGACCACCTTGGGCACATATCATCAGGACATCCTGAGACTGTGTCATAGGCTTATTTTTAACCTTGGCAAGATAAACCTTTTAAATTGATTAAGACCTGTTTCAGATACCTTTTGGTTTACCCAGCCACAGTCCTGCTAGCTGGAATATACTCCTGAGTGTAAATAGCTCAACCATAAGCCACCTGTTCAGTAGAAGAAGTGAATCAACAGCAGGTCCTAGCATAGATTAAAGACACATGAAGCGGGTGGCTCTCTGGGTCCTGGCTCCTAATGGAAAGGACAGTCACATAGGTGTTTCTGAGTGTTTGGACAGCCTGGGCTTTCCTGACCCAAATCCCCCCACCAGTTTTTTATAAAGCACACATTTGTCAGAGGTGTGTGAACCAGAGCAACTCTGTTTTAAATAGGAGCTGGGTGAAATGAGGCTGAAACCTCCTAGGATGCATTCCCAGACAGTTAAGATATTCTAAGTCACAGAATGAGATAGAAGGTCAGCACAAAATAAAGGTCACAAAGACCTTGCTGATAAAACAAATTGCAGTAAAAGAGCTGGCCAAAACCCACTAAAACCAAAATGGCAGTGAGAGTGACCTCTGGTTGTTGTTATTGCTGTGCTCTTACTGGAGCCAAGACAGTTTAGAAATGCCATGGCAACGTCATGAAGTTCCCCTATATTGTCCGAAAAGGTGAGACATAAATAATCCACCCGTTGTTCAGCCTGTCATCAAGAAATAACCATAAACATGGGCAACCAGCAGCCCTCGGAGCTGCTCTGTCTATGGAGTAGCCATTCTTTTTTTTTGGATGGAGTTTAGCTCTTGTTGCCCAGGCTGGAGTGCAATGGCGCGATCTCGGCTCACCACAACCTCTGCCTCCCGGGTTCAAGCGATTCTCCTACCTCATCCTCCTAAGTAGCTGGAATTACAGGCATGTGCCGCCATGCCTGGCTAGTTTTCTGTAATTTTAGTAGAGGTGGGATTTCTCCATGTTGGTCAGGCTGGTCTTGAACTCCCTACCTCAGGTGATCTGCCTGCCTCAGCCTGCCAAAGTGCTGGGATTACAGGCGTGAGCCACCATGCGCAGCCTAGAGTAGCTATTCTTTTATTTCTTTACTTTTTCCTTTGAGACAAAGTCTCATTCGGTTGCCCAGGTTGGAGTGCAGTGGTGCAGTCTCAGCTACCTGCAGCCTCTGCCTCTGGGTTCAAACGATTCTTTTGCCTTAGCATCCTGAATAGCTGGGACTGCAGGCATGCACCACCACGCCCAGCTAATTTTTGTATTTTTAGTAGAGACTGGGTTTCTATGACAGAATATTGTTTGCTAGGAAAAATAAAAAGTTAAAAAAAAGAGACTGGGTTTCACCATGTTGGTCAGGATGGTTGTTTACTTTCTTTTTTTTGTTTTTCTGAGATGGAGTCTCGCTCTGTAGCCTAGGCTGGAGTGCAATGGTGCGCTCTTGGCTTATCGCAAATTAATTAGTTGGTTAAACAAACATAAGTGCTTAAATATTTTCAAAGAAAAATAAAAAGTGTAATGCCTTTGAGGTCATGTAACTTTAATAATCTTTGGGAAATAAAAACAGCTTTAAAAATTACTGTTAAAAACATTTAGTCTAAATTATGCGATCAGATGTTAAGTTTGCTAAATGCTTTAAGGTCATAAACTGCTTCTTTAACTTTTAAAGAAAGTTACCTACCTTAAAGCCATTAGGTTCTAGATAAGGCCTGGAGATGTGGAATTAGCCATGTCAAATAATATTATAAAGAGATTTTATGTAAGAAGTGATCTCATATGGTAAATTCTTGTCTGAAAGTAAAATGACTAGTTGTTTAAAAGGAGGAATGTCATGGCCGGGCATGGTGACTCATGCTTGTAATCCCAGCACTTTGGGAGGCTGAGGTAGGCAGATCATGAGGTCAGGAGTTAAGAGACCAGCCTGGCCAACATGGTGAAACCCCATCTCTACTAAAAATACAAAAAAATTAGCTGGGGATGGTGGTACATGCCTGTAATCCCAGCTACTCGGGAGGCTGAGGCAGGAGAATTGCTTGAACCTGGTAGGTGGAGGTTGCAGTAAGTCGAGATCGCGCCATTGTACTCCAGCCTGGGTGACAGAGCCAGACTCTGTCTCAAAAAAGAAAAAAAATGGGGAATGTTTAGGGCAGGTTAGAAAGTCGAAGAATGTCTACGATGGTCTGGTAAGTCGTGAAAGGATTTTTGAAAGAGAATTTATGTAAGAAATATACCATTCAAAGGTTGTTAGTTTTCCTAAATGCTTCATGAAATGTCACTATGACTTATTGTACAGCTTGCCTACTTTACTGCTAGGTAAGGCCTGGGGACATGTGGAGTTAGCCATACCCCCTTGGCTGTGCTGTAGAGTCAGCTCTAATCTGCACTTGGGTCCGGTGTGTCCTAGGCTAGGCTCCACACCTAGTACACAATTAAAATTTCTAACTTGGTAGCTGGGCATGGGTGGTACGTGCCTGCAGTCCCAGCTACTCAGGAGGCTGAGGCAGGAGAATTGCTTGAACCCTGGAGGTGGTGGTTACCTCGAGCCAAGATCGTGCCACTGCATTCCAACCTGGCAACGGAGCGAGACTCCATGTCAAAATGATAATTAAATAATAATAAAGAAAATCTTGAATTTCCTAAGGTTTTCACAAAAAATAAAACTTGCTAAAGTTAACATTGTAACATGTAATTGAAACTACTGAGGAAACAATTTTAGATGCAAGGTGGGAAAAGAAAGTAAAATGTTTTTGGTGTGAAATATAAGTCATGAGAATGTAGATTGTTTTAAGTTAAAAAAAATCTAAAGGTTAAACAAGTTGTGGAAGGTTTATTAAAATTAATTGTAAGAGATTCTGTGTGTGAACATACTGGCTAAATTAAATGGGTATACAGGTTTTCTTGGAGCATTGATCTGCTCTTTCATGCACACAAACACACACACACACACACACACACACACACAAAATGTAAAGGTTTATAAAAGATGTATAAGAATCTTACCTTATGGTTAAACATTAAAATTGGGCAAATATGTCTATCAGGTTTTATTATAAGTTGAGTTTAACAGGACAGGCAGAGTAGCTCACTCCTGCAATCTCAGCACTTTGGGAGGCTGGGGCAGCCGGATCACCTGATGTTGGGAGTTCGAGACCAGCCTGACCAACATGGAGAAACCCCGTCTTTACTAAAAATATAAAATTAGCTGCACGATGTTGCAGACCTATAATCCCTGCTACTCAGAAGGCTGAGGAAGGAGAATTGCTTGAACCTAGAAGACAGAGGTTGCGGATTCCATTTATTATTTTATTAAAAGTTCTGTACCTAGGCCAGGCGAAGTGGCTCACACCTGTAATCCCAGCATTTTGGGAGGATCACAAGGTCAGGGGTTCAAGACCAGCCTGACTAACGTCTCCATTAAAAATACAAAAATTAGCTGGGTGTGGTGGTAGGAACATGTAATCACAGCCACTCAGGAGGCTGAGGCAGGAGAATTGTTTGAACCGGAAAGGCGGAGGTTTGCAGTGAGCTGAGATCTTGCTACTACACTCCAGCCTGGGCAACAGAGCTGAGACTGTCTCAAAAAAAAAAAAAAAAAAAAAAAGTTCTGTACCTATTTGGAAACTTGAAATTAAATTGTTTTTTCCTGAGTTTGCCCAGTTATTTTTAAAGTAATACTACATCATGAGAACGTAATAGCGATTTTCCGTATTTTTATGTTTTGCATCAGTCACTAAAACGTAGAAATTATCTCATTCTGAATTTATAATAAAAATAGAATGGGTCGGGTGCGGTGGCTCACGCCTGTAATCCCAGCACTTTGGGAGGCCAAGGCAGATTGAGACCATCCTGGTCAACATGGTGAAACCCCGTCTCTACTTAAAATACAAAAAATTAGCTGGGCATGGTGGCGTGTGCCTGTAATCCCAGCTACTCAGGAGGCTGAGGCAGGAGAATTGCCTGAACCCAGGAGGTGGAGGTTGCGGTGAGCCGAGATCGCACCATTGCACTCCAGCCTGGGTAACAAGAGCGGAACTCCGTCTCAAAAACAAAAACAAAACAAAACAAACAAAAAATAGAATACTCTCCACTAAGAATATCTCATTAGCATATTGCAACTTAAAGTCGGGAAATCTAAACTTTTTCTGGTAATATTACCTATACAATATT